GCAGCAGTGAGGCTGGTGCCTCCAGGCAGCTCCTTGCCCAGCCTGGACCTCCTCAACGTCCTTTTGGATGGTCCCAAAAAAGCCAAAGAGTGATGGGGGAGCAGAGCAGCTCCCGGGTGAGCAACCCAGGGCCGAGAGGGGCTCCGGGCTGGAGCACCAGGGAGGGAGGGAGCAGGAGGAGCCTTCGGCCTCAGGGCTGAGGAGGGACAGGAAGGTGAGATCCAGCCATGGGACCTTGTGCAGCCCTGAGAGCAGCGTGGATGCCCATGAGGGTGAGAGCAGAGGAGCAGGGCTGAGGGTCCTGCTGCCCCCGGTACCTCCAGCACCAGAACCTGCAGCCCAGGGCATCACCTGCGGGAGGCTCCGCTGCTGCTCCTCACCCCGGGGCTTTGTTGCTGATGGTGGGGGAAGCAGAGCCCGACCCTCATTCCCACTCCAGCCTCACTGGGAGCTGCCTTCCCATCCTGCCTGCAGGCAGGGCACAGGAACAGCCCTTTCCACTGCCCCCACAGCACAGCCCCTGCTTCCAAAGTCCAGGCCCGATCCCTGCAAAGGCCGGGCAACTTTTGGGGTGTGTTTATCAAAAACCTTCAATCATGATTAAAGAAATTCAGCCATGAGAGGCTAAATCCACCACACACAGCAGGATAACACCCCCTTGGCCCCCTTCCTGCTCTCCTGCCCCTCAGAAACACAGCTTCCACAGTTAACTTTTTTTCCCCAAAGGTTTTGGGCTTCCCACACAGGGATCTGTCATTTCCTCAGGATTCTTGGGGATCCCAGCTCATCCCCAGGACCTGGTGCCCTCGGCTGAGTGGGAAGGCCCAGGAACCCACTCTCCACTTCCCCTTTGCCACGCCAGCAGCCCCTCAGCTCTCCTCAAATCATAGAGAAACTTGGGTAAAGACAACCCGAATGTCTTTATTGATTTCCTATTTACAAATCACAAAGCTGGCCAAAAAGCAGAGTGTGAACACTGAACGAGAGCATCGGATACATTCATCAATACAGCACTGGAAGTGGAGACAGTCCCAGCTCTGCCCGGAAGGTGACGTGGTACAAACAGAACGTCTCGTACGTTTGGGAACAGGCAGGTCCAACAATGAGTTACATTCATCTATCTACAAAAGCCAGAATTGCATCCAACTGCAGGGAAGCTGTAAGAACAGGAGTTGCTCGGGTGTAGTTCAGTTTGACTCCCTCCCCAACAGGACAAGCCCCCCAGGACCTACCTGGGAGGAAGTGGTGGAAGAAGGGTGAGTCTGGGGAGAGAATCTGCGAAAGAGGTGAAAACAGACCCTGGCAGAGCCAGCAGGGAGGCCCAGGCCCTGCTCCTGCTTCAGGCAAGTTTGCAGCTTCACTCCTTTCCAGTTCCAGTGAGTCCCACTATTGTCGCCTGTGTGCAGAGAGCCCGAGGTGCCATGTCCCCTGGAACAGGGACCCTGTGGGGCTGCAGGGAAGTCCTCACAACCTCTGAGAAAGGGGTTGGGGTGGGAGGTGAGAGCAGGCACAGCTTCATACACCCCAGGGCCACCTCCCTGACCCACCTCACACACTTTGCATTGCACAGAGTCAGGTTCAATAACTAAAGTCACGGACCCTTTTTTTTTTTTTTACATTTTTCTTTTCCTTTTTTTTTAGTACTGGCCACATTAGGAACATCCCACCTGGAAGAAGAAGAACAACACATCTTGCAATGTCTTCCTAGGGAACAGAACACAGTGCTGACCTAACAGCTACTGGTGAGGAGGTGCAGGCTGCTCCTGCAGGGTCACTGCTGTGGGGCTGAGGAGATACTGGGCAACCACTGAGTGAGGGCAGAGCCCAACCCAAGGGAGCAGGAGGTGCCACTTCCCCAGACAGTGACCAAGCCACCCATGATGGCAAAGGAAAAGGAGATTTTAACTTCTCAGGGCCAAATAGGGTGGCAACTGCTGCCTGGTGGGTTCCAAGGGTTTCATGTGCCTGGAGTTGGGGGGGAACCCCTCAGCTTTGGGGCAGCACTTGCCACTGCCACCCAGTCCCACACAGACTGCAAAAAGCTCTGGTCACACTGCCAAGCTGTGCTTTAATTACAGAGGAGAGGGATCAGCTTCAGGGTCCTCACCAGTGACCATAAGGCTGGTCAGGCATGAGCCCCCCACACCCTGGCAGGACAAACCTCCCCTCCCCAGCTAAAGTCGTACCAGCTGATGGGGAAAAGCAACAAGCCCCAAACAGGTAAGAAGGGGCATCTTCAAGATCATGGAGCTCAACAGCCCCAAGGCAGGAACCATTTGTGATATTTGTAAATACAGCCTCGTGCTCCTGTGCCTGTGCAAACAGGGACTGTGCAAACACACCCAGGCAAACAGAAACCTTTCATGTTTTCCTAAACTGCTCCATAAATCCTTGTCCATCTGCTGCATTATTAGGTAACAGGCAGGTGCAAATCAAACCTCTCTTCCTATTTCACATCAGGGCAGCAGGTTCTGGAGCAGCCCAGGGGTGGGTGGGTGAGAAACACACGGGAACCAAGAGGAAATGCATTGAAAGGTGCACGGAGACAGCAGCAACACTAAGGGGCAGGGAGGCCAAGGAGCCCTGCTTGCTTCAGCTGCCAGCCCCTGGCAGGACCTGCCAAGGGCTTGATTAGCACAGTAACAACTAGCATGAGTGCCCTTCTGCTGAGGAGGGTCACCCAGGATCACCCACCCTTGGAACCAGGCTGCAGAGGTTGGGAGAAGCACCACCAGGCCCTGGGGGGGCAGGGGAGGAAGGAGCCTGCCCAGGCAGAGCCCCTGTCCCTTCCCGGCTCCGCAGGGCACGGCCGGTTGCTGTCACCACCTGCCCAGGGTGAAGGATTGTCACAAATTCGGGAGAACAGCAGGAAAACACCACAGTCTCTCCAGAGATGCTCTAGTTTTGGGGTCTCCCACAAGACCCTGTAGTGGTGGAACACCAAAGCCTCAGGGAAAAGGTCACTTTCCAGAACTGTTTGGAGGCAGCAGTGGCACCGGAGGGAGGAGCCAGATGACAAACCCTCCTGCCTCACTGCTCAGCTGGAGCAGAAGAGGATGGGCCACCAGCCCTTGACCATGTCTGTGTGGTTTGGGGTTTTTTTGTTGTGGTTTTTTTTTGTGTGTGTTGTTGTTTTTTTTGTAGGATTCTCTCCTCCCAGGAAGAACCACAACCAGAGCCACTCATTTCCATGCTTCTGACCGGTGGAAAAGCATCTACATTCATTGCAGTCCAAAAAATAAAAATAAAAATGCATGTTGTTAGATAGGATTAATCAGTAAAGGAGAACATGACTAACCACAGACAAGCTACACATGGGACTGGGGTACCAGCCAGCCTGGTACGTGGTAGCAGCAGGATCACCAGCACAAGGCAGAACATGAGCTTTGAAATGATTTTACTGAGACCTTTGGCTAGTGTGGCTCCAACTGGTGTGGTCAAACTCAGCCAGATATTTAGTTTGGAAGGTCATGGGGAAGAGAAGAGTCCAGAGCCTGCTCTGCAGCTGCACTATGTGTAGAAGATGATCTCTGGGATTTGTCCATCCTCCACGGACGTGCCATTGTTGTTTCCGGCCGCGTAACAGAACGTGAAGCAGGTTTTGGCTCCTGTTGTGGGTGATTCATGGATCACTTTGCGAAGTCCTTTGGTTCCATAGTGGGAATCTGGACCCTGTGATGGTCACAGGAGACAAGAACAGATCAAGATGGGGATCACTGCCCTAAGGGACCCTGCTGGGAGGTTTGGCCTCGCAGTCTGGCCCAAAGCAATGAGCTCTGGAGAGCTCAGAACCTCCCTCTTCTTTCTGGTTCTTGCACTTCAGGTATTTTGAACAAAGTCCTGGTCTCCACCAGAGCTTCACACCACATTTAACCTGGTCTCAGCAGTTAAATATCAACTTTTTGAAGCCACTGCAGGCAGGCTGTGGATTCCAAGCCTGCAGAACTGAGTTTATCTGTAGGCACCAAAAGAAAATAACCTCATCCCTAATGCAGCCTGTTCACTGCTGTGCACTTGCAAAACAAGCCAGAAGCCAACTCTGAATGCTGGTGGTGAAAGTGCCCAGCGCACCGGGTGAAGGACCATGGGGCAGATCTTTGAGATCATACTACAGGCCTTGAAAAATGCAGAGCAAGAGCCACACTGCCCTGAAGGGCCTGAAGCTTCCACCCATCTGTATCCCACCCCTTCCACACCAGCAGCCCCAGGCAGGTACCTTGAGGGTAGCACATGCTGTGTAGTTGACGTTGGGTAGAATCTCAACAGGCTCCTTGAACATGACGCGGAAAGTGTTGGAGGATCCGTCACAGCTGAACCCCGTGTCGTTCTGCCCCAGCACCGTGTTGCTGTCTGTGTGGATGATCTGCAAGACACACCAGCCCTTCTCATCTGCACAGCTGTTGGGCACTGCTCTGCACCACTGCAGGTGTGGGCTCTGAACTAGGCTGAGTCTGAGAGACACAGAAGTTTGACCAGCCCCAAGGGTGGTAAGAGCCTGGCCCAGGTTGCCCAGGGAAGCTGTGGCTGCCCCATCCCTGGCAGTGTTGAAGGGCAGGTTGGATGGGGCTTGGAGCAACCTGGGCTGGTGGGAGGTGTCCCTGCCCATTAATGGGGTTGGGACTGGATGATCTTGAAGGTCCCTTCTAAGCCAAACCATTCCATGATTCTATCCCATGACTTACGTCCCACTGCAGGGCTGTGATCACACCAGACTGTGGGCTTGGGTCCTCTCTGCCCAAGACAATCCCTCCTTACCTTGAAGCCTGGCACAGAATGGCCAGCAGACCTTGCGCCTTAGATCTCACCTGCCCTTCTCCTCCAACAGCTCAGGGGCACCAGAAGGAGACCCTGACAATTCAGGACAAAGCACTTACAGACTCCGCTCATCACATCAGCTGTGCTGTTCTGGGATAACTTTCTCAGGGATGGTTCCTCCCCACTGAGCCAGGCTGGAGTTACCTACCCATACCCAGAAGAAGGCATGCAAGGTTTCCCAAAGCCACCCCTGGCTTTCAATAAGACCATGATGGACTTCTGACAACTGTGCCTCCGTGCTACCTGTCACCTCCAGCAGGACACTGACAACATGAGGCCACACACCAGCCCTGCACTGACACACCAACTGATTCCATGTCCCTTGCTGAATCATTATCCAAATGACCCAACAGTGCCAACTGTGGGTTGCAATACAAACCTTTGCTGTGAAAGATGTGAACTATGAAAGCTACTGGGACAGGCTGCCCAGGGCAGTGGTGGAGTCACCACAGAATCACAGACTCATAGAATGTGTTGGGTTGGAAGGGATCTCCAAAAGTGATCTAGTCCAACCCCGCTACAATCAGCAGGGACATCTCACACTAGACCAGATTGCTCAGAGCCCCATCAAGCCTCACCTTGAATGTCTCCAGGATGGGGCCTCCACCACCTTCCTGGGCAACCCATTCCAGTGATCCACCACCTTCATATTCAAGAACTTTTTCCTAATGTCCAACCTAATCCTACCCTTTTCTAGCTTGAAACCATCACCCTTGTCCTGTTGTTACATGCCCTGTGAACAGCTCTTCCCCAGCTTTCTCACAGGCCCCTTCAGGTGCTGGGAGGTGCTCTAAGAAGTGAACACATCCCTGGAGGGGTTTCAAAGCCCTGTACATGGGATGTTGAGGGACATGATTCAGCACTGGACTTGGCAGAGTTGGGTTAATGGTTGGACTTGATGATCTTAAAGGTCTTTTTCCAACCAAAATGATTCTATGAATCATGGCTGATCAGCCCTGTGTGTCTGATCATGGCTGCTCTCCTGCACTGGAGACCAGGGAGCAGAAGGTCCCAGGACTTTTGCAGGAGCTGCAGGGCAGAGAGAGCCTGGCCTGTCTTGCCTGGGATGGGGAAACACTCAAGAGCTTCTTTCCAAACTGCGTCAGAGCTCAGGGTCGTGTGCTCTGAGGCTGCAGCTGGACTGGGGAGCTGCTGCAGTGACGTATGCAAGGGGAGCTGCATCACATCAAAAGCAATAATCCTTCTCATCCCCTGTGCCCCATCTGGCCTTCACTACATCTGCCAACCACCCTACCTAGGAAACACACACAGTCCCTTCCAACTCCAAGATTTTATTGCATATTCATTAAAACTGCCCCATCCCTGGCAGTGCTGAAGGGCAGGTTGGATGGGGCTTGGAGCAACCTGGGCTGGTGGGAGGTGTCCCTGCCCATGCAGGGGGTGGATCTAGATGATCTTTAAGGTCCCTTCCAACCCAAACCATTCTGTGATATGTAAGTTAGTCCCTGCAGCAGCAAATATTTTGAAGGTAGTAGAGAGAATTACCTGTATATTTACTTGGTAATCCGTTGGCCCATGTATGGATCCGTATAATCCAAACCCAACTACAAATATCCTTTTGTTTACTGAGAACCTGCAGGAACAGATCAGGAAAGTCAGACCAACTTGCCACTCCTTGGACTGGTTTAGTACAAGGATGACAGACAAATGTCTTCACTCACTTGTGTTTTATACCTATGATTCAATCAAGCAAACTAAGGGTTTACATGCAACTTAGAACTGAAATCCTTCCCAGAAACCATAATTTGAAAGGTTTGGACTTTTGAATTATACCTTTGACTGTCCTAATCAGCCAGCAATCATTTTCTTTGCTGATGGGAGATACAAAGCTGCACAACCCCAGAGTCCAGGCTCAGGAAGGATTTTGAGGCTTCAGTAACAATGTCAGCAACCAAAAACACCAGCCAGGAGAAGCCTGCAGAGCATGGAATAATGCCCCCCCTCATGGCAGCAGCAGTTTTTCCAGCCAGGTAACAGCAAAGACCACTTTGTGTCATCAGGTATTTCATTGCTGAGCACTGGGGAAGACTCCTCCATGTGCTCCTGGGTGTTTGCAGGGTGTAGTTGCAGGGCAGCTGCACGTGGGATTTAGGCAAGAGTAGAAAATATGATTCAAAAGCTCATGAAGGTGGGAATCCTGGCTGTCCAGACAGCAAAGGGAGGGATAAACACCCCAGTGCCCCACCACAGCTCAGGGAGCAGAGACCCTCAGTGTCTGCCACACCAACAGAATTTCTCCCCCCTTGTCCAGGAGATCCTCAGCCCTGTGTGTCTGATCCTCAGCCCAGCTCAGCAGGGAGCCAGAGGTGCCAGCAGCTGGGCCTGAAGTCACAAGCTCCAAAAGTGTCAGATCTGGGAGCAGGAAGTGTTTGGAGTTACAGCTCATCCAATTAGGATCTTCTGAAAGGGGATGAATAGCCTAGAAGATCCAACCAACAGCTCCATCCATACCCAAGACAACCATCAAAGGGAAGGCTTAAGAATTGTGAAGAACTGTCGTTAACACAAGTGCCCTTTCCACCCAAGGGAAAGACAAATCAGGAAATACCCAAGACATTCTGATCACCTCCTGCCTTGCTCTAACCACTTGGCCCCAAGCCACACCTCCACATCTCTGTCCCTGTTACTGGGCTTTGCTGTTTCTCTACAAGCTTAGGTCTAAACAAACTAGATATTAGCAGAAAAGCAGGAGCAGCAAGCGTTTTATCCTAATCCCTCCCTAAATAGGCAAGATTAAGGGGCTTCAACAAGCCACATTTGCACTTGTAATAGAGCAGGGAATGGACCTAATGGAGCTCTGGTCAGTTGACATACCCAGGCACAGCAGGAAGCTCTCAACTGCCTGGTGACCCCAACCATTACATGTCTGTGTAGCTGCAAGAAGCCACTAGGAAAGGAGAGAAATAATCCCAAGAGGTCTGTGCTGAAGGGCCTGCTTTGCTGGAAACCTTTGCCAATACAGAAGCAAAGTGGCAGTCTGCACATCAGGTGCTGCCTCTGCCCAGCAAAACCCTTTCCCTCCAAGGGCTCACACCAGGCTTCCCAGGGTGGGAGTCAGGGTCTAGCACGTAACCTTGGGGGTTCAGGGCCAGAGTGGGCTGAAAGCTCAGTAAACATCAATCTATCAGCAGCAGAACGAGCAGAGAAGCTGACCTTATCCTGTCACTAGTCCCACTGTACCCCCAGCGGCTCTCCACCTGCTGGAAACGGCTGATGCTGCACTCCTTCCCCCGCAGGCAGCAGCGCGGCCGGTCGATGAACTCCACCCGCGGCTTCGGGTTGACGGTGAAGTGCAGGAACAGGCTCACCACCTCCCGGTCCGTCAGGATTCCCGACTGGGCAGGCCCTGCACAGGAACACGAAAGCAGCCAGGCTGTCAGCTTTGGGAAATCAGAAGGGATCCTTTGGGATTGGCACGGGGAGGATGAGCTGCCCGGCCAAACCCGCCGCACGGGTGGGATCCTGCTGGTGTGTTGGGAAGTTCAGAGGGGAAGGTGCTGCCCACCCTTGGTCTGCAGAGCCTCTGGATGGAACACACAGCTCTGCAGAGCTCTGCCTAACAGGACTGGTTAAAAAAAAAAACCTAAACCATTCAGCTACTCCTTCCCCCATTCCCTCCAGAGATGCCCATACTGGTAGGACACTGGAATTTTCATACATTGATAACATTATATTTTATAATGTGACCATGAAAACACCACAAAAGCCCATGAGGGGTAGTGGGAGGGAGTGGATCACCTGGTTACCAACAACTTACTCAGTGCAGGAGTGTTTTTCAGTCAAGACAAAGGTGGTTTAGCTCATTCCCTGCTTTGGTTCCTCAGGCATTCTCATGAGGGCAGGGAGTGACAGAACAAGGGGGAATGGATTTAAACTGGCAGAGGGAGATTGAGGTGAGACATGAGGAGGGAATTGTGGAGTGTGAGGGTGGTGAGAGCCTGGCCCAGGTTGCCCAGGGAAGCTGTGGCTGCCCCATCCCTGGCAGTGTTGAAGGGCAGGTTGGATGGGGCTTGGAGCAGCCTGGGCTGGTGGGAGGTGTCCCTGCCCATGCAGGGGGGTGGGACTGGATGATCTTTAAGGTCCTTCCAACCCAAACCATTCTATGATTCATTCTATGATCCTATTATTTCATCCCTGCTTTGGGTTTGTTGGGGATTTTTAACACCTTTATTGCAGAACAGCTGAAACATGTTCTCTTCTCCAGTAACTCAATGTTTTCTTTAAAGTGATGCTAAACTCAAGCTTTGGAAACTACTTTAAATGCTTTAAAAAGCAGAACTGGGTAAAATTTGACTCTTAGGCTAATAGACTAAAGCTACTCTGCACCTCTGTTTGCAAGAGGTTTTTAACAGAAACAAGACCACTGCACACTAGAGAAACAACAGCATCAAACGCTCTTTAATGTGGGAAGCAAAAGCCTCAGTACTTGTTGGTCCAAAACGACTTGTAGCTGGTAAATTAATTCATCATGATGTTGTGCAGATGTAATTTGGTCCAAGGCTGCAGTAGGTGGAGATGGAAGAATTTCAGGAAGTCAACTGTTAACAGATTAAGAAGCTCATGGATACTTTGCTCAGCAAAAATCAGCCATCATTGATCATGTCTCAACTTATCCTGTGTTGCTGCAATTTAACTCTCAAATGTTTCAAATTACTTGCTCTCAGGGAAGGGAGTGAGACATTTGCCAGTTAAAACACCTTCATGCAAATCACCATGTTTGATACCAGATTATACAATAAACTGGTGAAACCACTGCCTGTAAAAATCCTTCTTTTTGGTGTTGGGAGAGGGGGGTGGAGGGGAGTGGTTTCCCTCTCCCACCTCTGCTGTGATCAACACAGAAATCCCTCAGAAAAAGGACAAAGCTGAAGCAACACCAGGGTAGCCCCCTGTTTAAGGGGCCAGTGAAGTTTCTCAGGGCTGGGGTTTCTTTTTTTCATCCTTTAGGTTAAAGCAGGTGGAGAAAACTTGAAGGAGTTGCTGTCAAAGCAAGAAGATGAACCAAAGATGTGAGTTGAACAGGCAGCTGGGACACAGCATTGGGATGGGACAACAACACTTCCAGCTCAAAGGCTTCACCTCCAATGCCAAAGTAAAATGTTCCTCCCAGTGAGGGGCTTTTCACCAGAGGGGACAGCGATAGGACATGGGGTAATGGGTTTGAACTGAAAGAGGGGAGATTTAGGTTACATATCAGGAAGAAATTCTTCACCATGAGGGCAGGAAGGAACTGGAATAGGTTGCCCAGGGAAGCTGTGGCTGCCCCATCCCTGGCAGTGCTGAAGGGCAGGTTGGATGGGGCTTGGAGCAACCTGGGCTGGGGGGAGGTGTCCCTGCCCATGCAGGGGGGTTGGATCCTGATGATCTTTAAGGCCCCTTCCAACCTTCACCCTCCCATGATTCTATGAGATCTGAAGGAAGGGGTGAAACAAACAGGATCTACAGAAAAATGCAAAGCTTGTTACAGCCAAACCACCACGATGGCTGTAACACCCTCCAGGAGGATGTTCTCTCCCATCAGGCTGGACCCTGATCTTCTGCACACCAAGAATCCCTGTGCTATGTTTTCACCGTCCACCAACACCATGAGAAGTCACCCAGGTCAGATGAACTCATCTCTGCCTCCCTGAGCAAGTCCCTCCTAAAAGGACTCACCTCCCCAGGACATCACAGCTGTGACAGGCACAACAGAAGGTGGGCACCGAGTCTTATGCACAGATTCATTGCTTACTAAAATCCCCCTCCACCATGATCTGCTGACAAGCTGACACCACCTCAGCCTCAAGAAGCTATCTGCAGAAGAAATGGTGTCACTGACCCCTTTTTGCTTCTTTGTGCTCATCACTGCAGCCCTGAACAAGTTTCAGTTTTGAAAATGGTCTTTTAAAAGACACTCCACAGTGTCTTTTAGCAAGACAACTATTGAAGCTGATTGCCAGTTTTCAATCCCTGAAGCATCACCAGAGTATGAAGTCAATGACAAGAGGCAATGAAAACAAACCAAATCTTTAAAAACTGATTTAGACATCTTTGTAAATCAAGATCTTAATGTAAAGTTGAAAATGCTTTGAGACACAGACTAAACCAACCCTTCATCTCAAAGAACATTCTGAGTTTTTTCTGTTATGGGGCTCTGCTCTGAGGAGCATCAGGAAGACACAGCCAGTCCCACCACTGGATTACAGGCAAAAAGAGGATGGGAAGAAGCATCCTCATGTCTCTTTAGGAGCAGGCTACAATCACCACCAATTATTTCCAACTCCTTTAGCTTTGTGTAACCTAAATGTGTGGAATGGTTAGAAAGGAAAGCCTGGGAAACCCTCTCTTTGGATCTTTGCTCTCAGCTGAATGAGAAGGTGACCACCTGAACTGTGAGTACCAACAGCCAGCTGTGACCCAGCTCACTCCCACCTGATGGAGCCCTGTAGTCTTTAAAACAACGAGTTCAAACAATCATGGATGAAACCAGCATTTACACAACAGATTGGGAAATGACCACAAGATACACAGAGAAAACTCATTTTCATTTTCTACTCAGTCCTCTGCAGTTCAGAAAAAGCAAAACCCAGGGAGTGCCAGAAAGGCCTGTTGTTCAGTTACCTGCTGCAAACTCCTCAATAGTCATCAATGGGAAGCGGATAAGGGAAAGTGCTTTGCCCAGCACCTTCCTCTTGTTCTCTGGAATCACCTGCAGCTGCTGCCGTTGACACTCGGCCTCTGCCCAGCGAACCACCGCGTTGAACAAACGCACCTCCCGGATCCCCAGGGTGTCCCTCTCCAGCACTGCAACCAGAGTGTCTGCAAGGCAGGACAGACAGGGACAACTTCAGGCACTAACCCAAATCACCCCCGTTTTACCTCACCAGAAGTACCCTGTGTACAGCCAAGGTAAGAACAGGAGAAGCAACTGAAAACACAGCACCTCCCAAATCCTCTCATCTCCTCCAAGGAAGATCCATCTGCTTATTCCATAAGCAAGTAACTCACTGGAGCAGCAAGTGGTGCCCATTTAATTGGCATGTTAATGGAAGTGCAGAAGAATGAACTTCATCTTACTTGAGGTCAAATCTGGATGAAGCAGCATGAGAGCCAGAGGGTTACCTGTGCCTTATCTCCAGAGTGCATCTCATTAGAAGAAGGTTAAAGTCTGAATTTTAATGTTTATTAACAGTGCCCAGCAAGTCTGGAAACAGCATAAGATAATTTAAAAGGCCAGTTCTTGCTTCCAGAAAACACATCACTTTTTTTAAACTCCAAAACCTGACAAAGACTCAGGGAACATTTCCAACTCCACAAAAGAAGGCAAGTTACACCCACCCCAAACCTGCCAACATCAACAGAGAAAATGGGCTTTGTATCATGCCCAGAAAACTCAAGTTGTACCAAAGTAAGCATATTCCAGGATATTTCTACATGCTCTTTTGCAAATGCCTTGTCTCTGGGCACTTAGCGCCAGAGACTGGTTGTCCAACAGACCAGCAAAGCCACAAGGGAGAAGTGCCAAGTATGAACCTGTAACAACTTCAGAGGCTGCTTGTTAGGAGAGCATGTAGAGGGAGGAGGGGAAAAAAAGCTTACCCAGATCAATGTCTGTAAACCCCTCTGCATTGATGGCATCTGATGTGTTCTTGTCTATGTTCTCTAAGCAAAGGCTGGCCAGCTGAGGCTCATCAAACAGTCTTGCCTAGTGATAAAGAACAAGTGGTTAACACAAGAGGTATTGTAGGCTAAGTAAGGAGATCCCCTTCTCTCCCAGAGCCCATCTTCATTAGCAACACTCTGCCTGACTGCAGCCTGAATTCACTGGCCTGCAGCAGCCTTTCACAAGCAGTTAAGCATGACAAGGCAAACACTAGAAAAATCCAGGTCTGGCATCAGCCCTGGCTCAGCTGGGCATGTCTTCAGGCACGTCTCTGTTCTAACATCACATCAGTTAGCACAGCTCGAGTGCTTCCCAGCACCCACTGACCACGGCACGAAGTGTGGGCAATTCTTACAGCATCATTTTTCTGTTTTATTTTCTATTCCTATTCTATTTTCTATATATAGTTCTGGGCTCCCCAGTTCCAGAGGGACAGGGATCTACTGGAGAGAGTCCAAGGGAGGCCACGAGGATGATGAAGGGGCTGGAACACCTGCCTAAGGAGGAAAGGCTGAGAGATCTGGGGCTGTTCAGTCTGGACAGGAGAAGACTGAGGGGGGATCTAATGAATGTCTCTCAATACATGAGGGCAGCAAGAAGGCAGGGACAAGCTCTTGTCACTTGTGCCCTGGGATAGGATGAGGGGCAATGGATTCAAACTGGAGCCCAGGAAGTTCCATCTCAACATGAGGAAGAGCTTCTTTGCTGTGAGGGTGACAGAGCCCTGGGACAGGCTGCCCAGAGAGGCTGTGGAGTCTCCTTCTCTGGAGACTTTCCAGCCCTGTCTGGATGCCTTTCTGAGTGTCCTGCCCTGGTTTTGGTCCTGCTCTGGCAGGGGGGTTGGACTGGATGATCTTCAGAGGTCCCTTCCAACCCCTGACATGCTGTGATTCTGTGATTTAGAAGAAAGCTTTGCCCAGTGACTTCAGAGCTGCTCACTGCAGGAATAAGCAGAGACAGGTTCTTCTGTAAGAATAGTCACACTGATCTCATCCAGCAGCAGAACTGCCTCTGCAGACACACTGCTTGGGTCCAGAGGATGTGCAAAACCCCATGGAGGGCACAGCTTAGTGCTCATGCATGTTTTGCACAGAAACAGCCACTATCATCTAGCTCCCTTTAAGAATTGCCCCCAAAATTGGTTACTACTCCAAAGAAGGCCTGCACACAGCTTGGAGAGTTGCTCAGAACCTCTGCACAACTTAAGTGAAGTCTTTTAACAGTTTCACCATTTCAGATCCCCCTTGACTGCCAAGACAAGTTACCAACCCCATGCCCAGCCCAAGCAGAAATGAGCAGGGAACACAAAGAAGTCACTGGGACAACCTCTTCTTCCCAGAGATTGGTTTTGCTAGTGAGGAAGCAACTGCCTCACAACCACACCTAACCCATCTGATGAGCTGGGACTTGAACTCACTGCCACAGGTAAGGTTTAAAAATTGTGGTTTGGGCTGGGAATTCAGTCACTCATGGAGGCAGTGGCCTGCGTGGCCAGCAGGTCACTGAGGTTCTCCTCCCCCTTTGCTCTGCCCTGGTGAGGCCTCACCTGATGAAATGTGTCCAGTTCTGGGCTGCCCAGTTCAGGAAGGACAAGGAGCTACTGGAGAGAGCCCAGCACAGGGCCCTGAGATGCTGAGGGGCTGGAGCTTCTGCCTGTGAGGAAAGGCTGGGAGAGCTGGGGCTGCTCAGCTGGAGAAAAGGAGGCTGAGGGGGGGGCCTGATCAGTGCTGGGGAATATCTCCAGGGGGTGGCAGGAGGATGGGGCCAGACTCTGCTCAGGGGTGCCCAGGGACAGGACAAGGGGCAATGGGCACAAACTGGAGCACAGGAGGTTCAAGTTAAACATAAGGAAAATACTTCTTGACTGTGAGGGTGGCAGAGCCCTGGGACAGGCTGCCCAGGGAGGCTGTGGAGTCTCCATCCCTGGAGACATTCCCACCTCACCTGGATGTGTTCCTGTGGGATCTGCTCTGGTGAACCTGCTCTAGCAGAGGGTTGGACTGGATGATCTCCAGAGGTCCCTTCCAACTCTGGGATTCTATGTAACTCCATTTTCTCAGGGACCAGGGATGCTCCAGCTATTGTCACCTGCTCCTGAGGCCAGAGAACTGCTAGTGCCTTGCACTCTTGGCATCCCAGAGCTGGGACTGACTCAGACTTTACTCCTGTAGTGGCTCTCTTGACACGTGAAGGACTTAGGTTACACTCACAGAATTCTCCTTCAGAGCAGCTTCAGGCAAGACATTATTTCTTTGTTGATCAAAGTGACATTTGCATGTACGTCTGGCATGAAAGAGGATCATGGGTTCACTATGAGGCACAATCAATTAAGAGAACTGTTTGCCACTCATAGTCTTGCCAGAGATGGGTAGTTGCTTGAAATGCTGTCAATGACACAGTTGCTGGACCAGCAGGATTCAGCAATGATGCAGAGAAAGGAGGTTTGGGGCTCTTAGGTCCACAGTCTTAAGCCTGTTGGGAAATGTTTTGTACAAGATGCACCTCAGGCGTGGAACTGACTGTACAAATGGTCAATTTGTTGCAGTAACAGCAGAAAACAGAGGCTGATTTTCACACTGAACGACCAGAACCAGAAGCATTTTGAGAACAAATCCACTTTAGGTGAGGTGCCTCATGCAGCCAGTCCCCAAGACAATCTATTGCTCAAATAACATCAGCCTCAAACATTTTAGAGACTCAATACACTGCAACAGTGAACACAAACTAGATATGAATCTCATTAATCACCATGGATAAGCCCCAGACAAAAGGATCCAGGAAAGCCTGTCTCCATCTGGCATTTCAGCTGCCCCAGTGCAGGTTTCCAGTGTATCCTGGTTTTGACACCTGAAAAACCAGGACACCTTCCTCTTTTGCCAAAGAAGGACCTTTGTGACTTGTAAGGAAGTCACCATGAACCCCAGTGTTTTTGCAGCTTTGGCAAGATGTCAAGTTGCAGAGACTTAGAAGGCTGCAGAAATCCCCACATAAAGACTACCCACCAAAGAGCTGACACCTCTAATCCTCCCAAGGTGAGGTAAGATGCCTCTTCAAAGCTGCAGCCTGCTGGGAAGATCTCTTCTCAGCACTTGGCAAACAGCTCCTGATCTTTCAGACTGAACCCCAAGAACAGGAGAGCTGCAGCCAAAGAGCTACAATTGTCCTACCACACATCAGATGGGAGCATAGATTTTAGTTACCACCATCCAAGCAGGAATATTGACGTTCTGAATCTTCCCCAGGGAAGTGCAGTGTGGCTCCCCCCATGTCCCAGAGGCTGCCTCACTCATTCATGGCATGTGGAAAAGGGCCAAGTTGAGAGGATGTGTGAAGAGAGACACATGGATAGGACATTTTTGTAGCAATAACTGAATCCTAGGAGCGAAGTGTCTACAAGAGCATTGTAACATGGAACTAGTTTGAAAACTTGATCCTGATCACTCCTAACAAGAAGGAAAAGAACCAGTACCAGATATGCTGGGCAAGACAGGATGACCCCTCAGAGCCAGGCCACCTTAGTGTGCTGGTTCCCAAGTCAGGGCAGCTGTGAAAACTTTGCAAGGTTTGCTTAACATCAGGAATCACAGCAACTTTCCAGAGCTGCCTGGTCAGAAATATTCCTCCAGAGCTAGTCAAAAGTGCCTACTCCCTACAGGAAAGAAACTGGCACACACTGTGCCTTTTGGTTCCTGGTTCTTACACCATTCCCAGCAGGGTGTCCCTGGCAGTGCCACAGACATCATGGCGCATGGGTGACAGCACTGAGGAGGTCACTGCCATGTCACCAGCTGTCAGCAGGGACCAGAAAGAAGAGATAGGGCTGGGAAATGGGAAGGACAGTGATGCTGCTCCAATCAACCTGCACAAGAAGTCTGATCTTCTCCAAAAGAAGGAGCAGTACACGCTGCCTTTTTGTTTGCTGCTTAGAAGAGTCAAATGGAAGATGGGGGAGTCCAGCCCTCCCAGGTGGGATCAGACAAGAGGGGCACAAGGATTCAGAGTCTCAGCCAGAGCCAAGAGAGATGGCTGCACTGGAACTCCAGGTTGACATCCCTGCAGTACAGCAGGAGGGTGAGCTAGAAAAGGCTGAGGAAGAAATCACCTTGTTCTTCTGACAGGAAAATAAACCAAAACACTCATGAAGAAGTTGCATTTTCTGTCTCATTCTCATTTAAAGGAAACTATTGCAAAAGAAGATCTTCAGAGAACATCTGGCCAGCTAGATGCAGCAAGCTTTGCAAAAGGAAAGCTTATTACACCAGTTCTGAAGCTTACAAGCAACATCATCCCATTTCACTTTTATTCTTGGCCAATGAAACTTTTCCACCCTGTTCACTTCTTCCCCAGCTCACACTCTGGAAGGAATCCCCTGCCACAACAAAACAGAAAGCAGATCTGAACTGGCACCAACATTTGTATTTTATTGCTCTTTGTAAGAACCTGCTCACCAGCACTAGACTCCTGGAAGGAAGAATTCAGAATGACAAAGAACTGCTCCATTTTGGATGATCAAGTCCACAACACTCAAAAAACTTCAATTTTCCTATTATGATGGACCTTGCTCAAGAGACTGAATGCAAATGGTTGCAAACTCACCTGTGTTAACAGCATGAATGCATTGTCTGCTCGGAGGTTTTTTTTGAGGAATTCCACACAATGAGCTTCAAGGGCTGGAACTGCATATTTTTTAGCTGTGTAAAGTGTTGTCATAACAGTCTCTGGTCCAATCTGAACTTCGTCTGAATAAAGAAACCTGGAAACATGCAAACAAACATTGCTCTGGTGAAGCTAAGATAACAGGGTAATAACCTTTGAAATTCATAAAAAAACATGTTTGTGCTTCTGCCCACCATCCAGAGATGGGTTTTCACATCCTTTCCACTGACTGGTTTACCAAAGGGAAACTCTTTATTTATTTAAAAAAAAACAAAACAAAACCCCACAGCCTTTACAATGTAACTTTTAATGAATGAAAATAGCTGCTGAAGCACCTTGAACTGCTTAACATCCCACAATCAGTGAGTTGCTCAGCCTGACTCCAGGCTGGGAGTCTCTGGCCAATTACACCCCTTGAAATTAACATTTTTGGCTGTTCACTTAGACTAAACAAGGAAAAACATTCAACCCTGCCTGCCTACTCTGTTTTACATACCAGTAAGTGGTCAAAAGCACTCAGGCATCCCCTGCAGTTGAGGTGTTTTATCCACACCCCACCTTCCCCTCATCACTTTATATACTGAAATGTTTCATTTCATTATACAGATGTTAAGCAGAGAACTTCAGCATAAAAAAAAGTTAATTGTGAGGAAAAACACGGGCTGTGCTAGCAAAGCACCAGCCCTCCCTGTTAGGCCAAAACAAGGAAGTACATTCACACCACATGGAAAAACAAAGGTCTTCATAGGAAGCCTGAGGGAGCCTCCTCAGGCCCAAGCATCCTGATCAGAGACAGCAGGAACTGACAGGCTGAGTTCAGTAAAACCAGCCCCCACTTGGATGTCAGTCCCCATCCCTTTTAGAGTCTTTGTTTACTGTTTTTCCTTTAATCAGTCAAGCCTTTGCCAAGCAGGATCTGAAAGGCAGGGAGCCCAGACGAGTAACATTAAGTGTGCTACCTGTGCTTGGAATTCCTATTCCATGGGGAGGTGTCCCTGTCCATGCAGGGGGTTGGAACTAGATGATCTTTAAGGCCCCTCAACCCAAACTACTCTATGATTCTATGCTATTTTGAAAACTCCAGGAATTTCTTCCTCTGTGTCTCTCCAAAGGGGCACAACAACAGGTTGTGTGGCTGCTGTTTAGGGAGCATCCCTGCCTGGAGGGACTTGCTGCAGAGAAGCAGTGCAGCTCCAGATCCTCCAGCTGGAGGGAAGCAGGATGCAACCCAGGGAAGAAGCATCAACAGGGGGATTCAGATGGAGGGAAACAGTCTCACTGCTGCTGAAAGCAGGCTTTTGTGCTGCTCTGGAACATCTGTTAATAACAGCATCAAGCCACAGGCTCATGAATGTATTTTGCACACACCCCTCCACCAGTCCTATTCTCACTAATCCTTTTTATTAAAAGATTAAAAGAACACAGTTGCTCTAAAAGCAAATAGTACTATTTACTGCAATGACTGTGTTAGTATTTATTTTTATGTTAGTGTAAACAGTGTGAGCTAAGAGGGACAGCAACAGAGGCTCAAACAGGAAAAGTGCAGTATCAATTTAAAAGATCTAGATCACAAAAGATCTAGATCACAAAAGGGACCTCCTGGTGAACATTCAGGATGGGCCCTTTGTCCTTGATCAGCTCCTGATCCTACAGCATTAGATCATGGCTTGAATCAAGTCCAGAGACACATGTACTGATCAGCTGCCATTTCAGATCAGTGTTTGGAGGGACTGGTTTTACTCTAGGGAGGTTCCTACCACACACTTGGTAAGCTTCCTACTGGAACACAGCCCCCAAGCTCCCTTTGGCACATTTAAGCTCTGAGCATTCTAAAAGCAACAATTCAATTCTGGATTGAAACATCTGAGGTGTCACTGGACTGTGGGCACAGCTGCTGGAGCACAAGTGCAAACTTCAGAGGTGCTGTGATAACCCACAGGGCCACAAGTTCTCCTATACATATTATAAACATTTCTGTGGAAATCCACCTAAACTCATCACTTTAGTCTCTTCAGATGATGGTTCTATTCCCAGGTCATATTGTTTAAGCAACCGGCAGGGAAACAACACAATTTTGTCTCTAATTCCCTCAATATTTTAGCCTCACTAAGTTTTGAGGACAGACAGCAGCTCTGCACTCCAGAGATCCACCTGGCTGACAGTCACACACCAATTAGAGGGATTCCCCATGTGCTGGTGTCTGGTTTAAAACAAGCCAAAGGGGAGGGAACCAGGGGCTCCCTATTATTTCTGCCCTTTCATCCAACAAAGATAAATTTGAAAATCTTCTAAGATAGCACAGTCAAGACTGAAGCACTTTTGGAAGGTAAAGCAGAAAGTGTGCCAAAGCTATAGATAGTCATTGTTCCCAAGAGGAAGCAAACAGGGAACATGTGAAGAGCACAGGACTGGAAACCCCTGGAAGTAGGTTACAGAAATCCTATAGAAATGGGACAATGACTTTCCAGCACACATCCAGGATTGCTGCTGGGTGTTATACAGCACCAGCCGAGCTTAAAGGAATCAGTGAATAGGGTGGTACAGCCCTTCCTCCTCCTCCCAGCACGTAGACTTAGAACTCCTGCTGCAAAACGTGAATTCAACACCAGCTCTCCAGGAGAGGAATAAAACAGGCACGAGGAGAGATACACACAGAATGGCTGACATGGCCTTCACACCCTTGCTTACCTGTTAGGACTTGCTCATTTGCCCACAGCCTAAATGAGCTCCAAGGATCTGTACCTTGTGGAGCTTTGAGAGGGTGACTTTCCTCTGCTGCTCTCAAAGAGCATTTGGAGCAAATCAAACCAATTCCTGAATATGGGAAACTGTTCTTTTCTTCCCCACGTAAGTCTAAACAAGAATTTATGAGACAATTCCTGAATGGGTGGATATCAACTGAACTACAAGGGCCAGCATGTGCATTTATTCCAGCTGCTAACCAGAACATCTCCCTCTTGCTGCATTTACCTGGTCTAACTATATAGAACCATATATTTATAATAATATAAACATTCTCATTTAGTTTTGCCCACACTGCAGGAGGACATAATTCACTATTAGTAAACCAAAACATGGAGCAAGTCAGGTATGTTTGTGCAGGAGTTGCACAGAACTTTTACCCAGGAAAAGAGAGATTTCACACCAGCACTTAAAACATTTTTGAACAGATCAACAAAGGGGCATTTAATTTAGAAACGTGAAGATCTCCACTCTACAAAAAAAATGCTTCACTGCTTTCATGAAAAAATAACCTCCTCTGCAATAAATCTGTCCATTCCAGTGACACTGTAGATTAGAAGCAGCTTACTTCAGCAGAGCCAGGAAGGCAGCAGGCTCCACATCAGGCAGCTCAATCTCTGTAGAAGTTGTGGCCATCCCACCATTAAACATCGCATCGAAGACTGCGCTGCCCACGGCCAGCACGAACCTACCATTACAAAAACAAACAAGCAACAAAAAAAATGGGATGTTAAATCATATTCACCTTCCTCCTCCTCCCACCCCCCCAAAAAAATTGCCCAGGCTAGTTGCTGTTCCCCAAGGCCACTCCCCAGGGGAAGCAAACTGTTCCCAGTATTAAAGCAAAAGTGTTTTGCAACAGAAGGGAGTGTCAGGCTTTCTGTTCATTTACTGCAAAAACACCAGAGTCACAAGCAACTTCACTTTGAGCTCTGGTCCAGCATCCAACATGGTAATGGTTCCCCAAAGACAAGACTTTGTGCATCATGGAACAGCATGTATGTGGCTGCTTTGCAAAGTCCTTGTCGGAGCCTATTCATGAGGTTGAGAAGCTAAAAAACAATGAACTTAAGGAATTTAAGTTATCCCAGTGAACAGAGCCCAAGTCTTGGTGTAATTCCCCACAGGCACTTACTGAAAACACTTATGGAAAACTGGTCACAACACACTACCCATCCTCTTTCCTTCTCCACAGATGCCACCCTAGGTGACACTGGGAGCTGGGGACTCCAGCACCTCCTGCAGCAGCTCCTGCCACAGAAAACCTGCTCCAGGTTTAGCCCAGAAGACAGAGAAACCTCACTGAAAGCAAACCAGCACTGCCAGGTTTGCCTTTCTGCACTGCTGTGAGTTGACGTGGTGATTAACAGTGAGATGTATTATGAGCCCTAAAGGAACAGGATGCAAGAATTCCCACAAACCAGGTTTGAGACTGAAAATAATATTCCAGGGCTCTCACCGTAAACCAGATTATTTCCCTCACTCATCAACCCCAGCTCCTGCTTCAGGAGGAGGCACAGATCTGCGCTGCTGAGAGGCCTGTGTAGATGGAAGCTGCTGTACCTGCCTGAGGCCTTAGAAAAGCCATTTTGAGAACTTCCATTGTTGGAAAATGCAGGGGTTTTTTCCCAGCAAAGTGATGCTGTATCTGCAGCCCAGCAGCCCCCTGAGGTTAAACACAGCACAGGGCAGGGAGGTCACAGCTCAGCAGCACAGGGAGGCAGAGGAGCCCAGGCTGCAGAAGCCATCACTGCATCCAGCTGAGTGTGAAAAGGAAGAAGCTGGAAAATTCAGGGGCTCTGGCTGCATTTGATGAAGACCTGGACAGAGAAGCACCAAGATCTGCAGGCAGAAAACTGCTCAGGACAGGAGACATGAGACTGAAACCTCCAGCACTCAGACCCCAAGAAAAGCCCTTCACTAAAGGGGAATTTCAGGTAGATTTTGCTGCAGTAGGAAATGACAGAGAAGCCTTTTTTTTTTTTTCCCTATAAACAAAATTTGTCATCTTCTCACTTCTCACTCCCCTCCCACCCAGAGGAGGCCTTCCAGGGACACAATGGAGCAAAGCACTGTGGATGTGCCAGGCTTGTTTGCTCTGACAGACTGTTTGGCTGACAAGCTCTATTATTTCTGATTCAAGAGAGTCAGGGACAAACCACAGCAGTTTTTAAAAGTACACACATGCATATTTTGATCAAGCAATTCTGAAAGAAAATGTCGAGGACAAATTAAAAAAACCTTGCTCACAATCCTAGAATTGCCAGATGAAACAGAAATCCTTGTTCCTACAAAAGCACTGATGGTGGCCAGAGAGTCACAGGCATTATTTGCTACCAAGAAACAACATGAAATTAGTTGCACTCCAAAATTTTCATTCTCACAGCCAACACAGAATACATCCTCAATGAGCAGAAGGAATTTGGCATTAATTAAAAAAAAAAAGCCTCCCAAATTTTTGCTTCCATTTCTCTCAGGGACAAGTCAGTCTGACTTTTTAACTGCTGAGCCAGCAGCTTAAACTGCAGATCCCAACAGGTGCCATAGAGATAGATACACAAGAGTCCAAATTTTAAGTTCCTCTAAACTATTAACATGAGAAAATTCTTCTCTCTTCTTGGTGTCTTCTCACTCCTGCTAAAATGAACACTTAAAGAAAGCTATTCTAAACAGCCCAGGAAAAGCAGGGACATGCACCATTTCTCCTACACAGTCTGAGTCTTCCCCTACCTCTCAGGTCTGCAAAAGGAAGACATGGGTTTGTTTCAGGGGGAAGGATCACAGAACCATCAAGAATCAATCAAGAAACACAATTAATGAGCCAAACTGGCAGAGTAATCATAGAATCACAGAACGATAAGTTTGGAAAGGACCAAGTTTCAACCTCCCTGCTATGAGCAGGGACACCTCCCACCAGCCCAGGTTGCTCCAAGCCCCATCCAACCTGCCCTTCAGCACTGCCAGGGATGGGGCAGCCACAGCTTCCCTGGGCAACCTGTTCCAGTGCCTTCCTGCTCTCATGGTGAAGAATTTCTTCCTGATGTCTAACCTAAATCTCTCCCCTTTCAGTTTAAAACCATTACCCCTTGTTCTATCACTGCCCTGGTGAAAAAGCTACTCTGGTGAAAAGCCCCTCCCCAGCTTTCCTGCAGACCCCCTTCTCTTGTATCCCCCTCCTGGTTTTGGGCAGCACTGCCTGATGCACACCTGCAGCTCTCAAAAGGGAAACAGAGGTACCCTAAGCTCAGCGTGGTGACCCTCAAACAGAGGGTTCTTCTTAAACAAAGTCATGGCCAAAACAAAATGGACTTCTGAAAGGATGCAGAGGATTGACCAGAAGCAAAGAACTAAGTAACACTCATTTCTTATCGTTCCCTCTGCACACGTTAAGAATCAAACTGGCTTTCAGCAATAAGAGTCATGGGAACTTCCAGGAGGTTAATAATTAGGTTTGTCTTCATGAGGATCCAAACTTGACTCCTGAGGCTTTTGAAGGCCTGCATGAAAATGCCTTTCATTGTGCTACTTAAACCTTCTGCCCACCAATCATCACTTCTTCCTTGTTCACCTTGGCATCTCCACATGTCACCTTGTTTAATTTGCACAACCGCCAGCCCTGCTCCCTTCCCAGGCACTATGGTAATACCAGTAATAAAATAAACCACTCAAGAGCCACCACTGCACAGCACCTCCCTCCTCCATCCGCTCCACTGCAGAGAAATCTTAAAATATTGATTCCAGAAGAGCTGGCACAGGAGCAGAGCAACACGTGATGTGCTGGAGCTCAGTGAAACCATGGGTGACAAGAAGCTAATGAACAATGATCGTTTGTTTGCTGCATCCTTCCAGCACCAGGCCTGGAGACACCAGGTGAAACAAGCTGGAGGCAGGTTCATACCTCCCCAGGAGAAGCCCTTCACATGCAACCCCAGGAGCTGAGCAGTGGGACATCTTGGCACACGACACTGCAGGGACTGCAACTTTACACACATCCAAGAGAAGACAGGATGAGCTAAGAAGAGAGATGTCTGGGAACAGCAGCCAAAAAACCTACTCAGATTGTCCCCAACCTGCAGATCTCCCAGGCTGGAATATACACAGGGGTGCATTGCCACACTCTTGCCCTGCTCTGGTTTGGGTCATGTTTTCTGGCTAATTAACAATCTTAATTATCACACCCATGCAGCTCCTGGCTGCTGAGGTTGAAATGTTTCTAATCTCATTGACGTGCTTGATGAAGCAGATCTGGAAAAAAGACAAGAAAGCTCTTTC